AATGTATTGACCTGAGCATTCTCTGAAGTAGCATTATTTACTCAAAAATAGTGTACCAGCTGAAATAGAATTAAGATCTATAATGCTGTATAAACTTTTTCACAGAATATTGCCTAGTTAGCCCTGAACAAATGGCACTTTTTTTATCTTAATCTATAAGGTGGTATATGTTCCCTCCTTCCTATTCATTGTGCTTCACATTTGGTATACCCTAAATTCACACACAGATACTAGAGGGGTAGTGAAAATCTAAATCCAGGGTCCGTGCTCATGGGTTGGACAGAATAAATGGATAAATGATTGATGCCCAGCAACAAGGACAGAAGAATTGCTGAGAATGGCTAGGATGCAGAAGAGGAAAAAATCCAGAAAGAAATCTTCCTGGAAATACTAGGCAGCTAATGTGCACTAATGATTCTTCATCATGCTGGTAGAGCAAGGAAATGTGGCTGATCTAGCAGTCCTATGCAAGATAGCCAAGAGAAGAGGATCTCAACGTTTCAAATTCCCAATGAGGGAAGTGAATCTCTAAGCAGGCCTGAAGGCTTCATCTCAGCTTTCTGACAAATTCTGTGCCTACCAGTGCATTCTCAGCAATTCAGTGACTACATCTAGCATCACTAAGTATTGTTCTGTTGTAGGATGACAAGATAGATAGAATTTTGGCCAGGATGACCATGCCTATGTTATTCATGTATAGAATTAGAAGAGCTTAGCTCAAATTAAAAATAAATAACTTCCGGTAACAAAGAGGAAATAGTTAAAACTATATGAAGCAGTGAGTGTTCTCAGCTAATGTGCAGAAAATGGCAGAAAAAGATGAGGCTTTTGAAAACAATTACCTAGTTTAGGTTATTTTTTAGATTGGTCCTCAAAGCAAATGCTGTACTCAAAACAGATTGTGGGAGAAGGAAGGAGTTGCCTAGAACAGCAGAATCTAGTGATAAAAAATAAACATTCTGGTGTCAGAGGGTAGTGGATTCTAAATCCAGGTTTGACACATTCTAAAGTTCAAATATTGTTCAAGGTACCTTGTCTCACTGTCAGTAATAGTATTGCTTTTCTGTATTCAGGCTTACTTCACTTAGCATAAAGTGGCAAGGTTTGTCCATGTTGTTTTCTTACTTTTTAAAAAGGACAAAATTTCCTATTTCAGTAAAGAGAAAACTGTGCTAACATGGATAAAAATTGGAGAAACTGTTCTGGAGAAATGGATTTACAGTTAAGAGCACTTGCTGCCCTCACAGAGGACCTAGGTTTGGTTCCCAATACCCACTTAGTGGTTCAGAACCATCTATAACTCCGTGTCTGTGGATTGTGCACCCTCTTCTGACCTCTACAGGCACCAGGCATTTACATAGTAAATACATACAAGCAGGTAAAACTCTCATACACATAAAATAAGCACATCTTTAAAAAACTAAAGAAAAAAAAGGAATGACAGAAATGGAGAAATTGAAAAGTGTTTGTCAAAGGTGAAAACATCTACCTGTCAAATGAATAAATTCGGGAAATGTTACATAAGGTATTGTGAATGCAGTTTATATTAATGTATTACGTATTTGAAATACCCTGAAAGGGATTTAGGAAGAGCATTCTTAGTTCATTATTATACATCTCATCAAGTAAAGTAGCTCCTGAGATCTATTTGTGTAGACTCAGGCTTCTAGGTCTGCAACCATAGATACCCTGAAGACAAGATTAGAATTCTCCAGACACTCCCTGAAGAGCAGCTTAATCTTTAGCCTTGGAAAAAAATCAAAATAAAACTAATTTTCAGAATGCTTAAATTAAGACTGTAACATTTTGAAATATATTTCATTATAAATTTTAATATACAAAATAATAAAATATGAATACAATTTAGATTTTAATTCTTAAAATGTCAAACTCAGATTCTGAAAGAATAATTAGTTGATTAAAATGTTTTTTTCATTCTTAGTGTCTTTCCTTTTAGCCCTGAATTTTTGAATAGATGCCTGATAATTATACACCTCAGTCCTGTTAGCACAGACTATGAATTTTAGAAACTACAGAAAAAAAAAGTTCGTGACTGCTGGTAGCTATGGCCATTCGTTTCCCAGTGCTTGCTACAGTATTATGCAACTGATATATTGAAATTATGAAAGAGGGTCCAAAGTGAATTAATAAATGCAGTCCAAAGACAAAAGCAACATTATTTTGCAATCTTTTGTGGGAAAATAGAAATACCACCAACTTGGAAAGAAAGTTATGTATGGACCCTTCAGTACGATATGCTTTTTAAATACAGATCTGAACTTAGGTTTTCATAGTCAATCTCTTTAATAGGTCCGACACACTGAGGAACGAGACAAACAGAGGATACTTACTTGCGATGCTATTGCTCGAGACTGACACAAAGGAGAGAAAAGGAAATACACAAAATGCAGTTTAGACAACGACTGAACCGTACATACATGGAACAGCAGCAAGGACAAAGTACGACATACATCCACATCACACTTCTACAGCAATAACGTGCTGACTTTTTGTAAGGCTTTTGATCAAAGTCAGATAAGCTATGTTTTTTTTTTTAATGTCTATCAAAGATTCTTTATCCTCAGATTGTTTTTGTTATGTTAAAACTGGCTAAGAATGATATTTACTAAAATAAATGGTAGAAAAATAAATGAACCACTCCATGAAAAGAGAATATTGTAAATAACCATTTGCATTAAGCGCTTACTATTGGTAATGATACACACAATAGCAAATCTGAAACTAACATTCAGGAACATTATAATTAACAACAGTCTGTGTAGATACACAAGACAGGGACTGGTAGTTATTCTATTGATGTCTTTTTATTGTTGATAAAGATGTTATTTTAATAATGTTTAAAGTTTTCTTACTTGATAATTGCTTTTATATGCATTTATGAGTAACTCATCCTCAGGAAGTCTTCTGAAGTTTTCCTGTTCTTATAAAGAGGGCTTGGACTTGCCTCTACTGAATGTGCCTCCCTATGGGGGACCTTGCCTTCTGGCGGGTGGAAGTAGGGGGTTGGGTTGAAAGGAGGAGGCTAGGGGGATGGGAGAAGGGAAGAGGTGGATCTTTGATTGGTGTGTAAAATGAATGAAAAAATTTTCTTAATAAAAAAATGACTACATCAAAATTCTATCAAAATCTACTTTCTAATTACCATGACTAATTAAGAAATATTTGTATTACACTGAACGTTTATGACCCACTTTTAAAGAATATGTGAAATTGAAAGCCACAGGACAATGAGTGATATTTGGAGACAGAACTGCTGGAGAGTGATTAGGTCATGAAAGGTCTAGTGATCCCAAAATGCCTTGCTTCTTCTGCCTGAGAAGATACAATGTTCAAATTGCCAAGAATCCCAAAGCAGACTCTGCTCAGACAACAAACCTACCAGTGTATATATTCTAGGCTTCCCAGTCCTTAAAAATGTCAGATCATTTTTTCATTAAAAAAGTCTCCTTTTATTATTTTTATTATGCACACAAATATGTGCCTGTGTGAGAGTATATGCATGGGAGTACATGATCCTCCTCTAAAAGAACAGTATGTTCTCTTTACTACAGAGCAATCTTTCCAGCCACTAAAGTTTCCATTTTTATAAGCTATCGAACGTATGTTATGTTGCTAAGGAAACCCTAGTCAAACTAAGGAAATGTTAAATTACTTACATATAAAAAGAGTTTTGTTTTATTTACTGTATAATCAAATAATATTTGTATCTATTCTAAAATCGGTAGCCATATTTGCCAAACTACTCCAAGTATTTAACTGTCTTGAATGACTCTCCAGTCAGCTACTGTACAAATTACAATAGCTGTTTCTTCTTTGAAAGTGCTTTCTGAAATGACCCTCAGAGTCTATGTTCAAAGAAAAACTTAAATTTTGCTATAGAGGTGGTAACAGAGATGTATTAAATGTCTCAGAAACAACAATGAGGTTACCAACAACACTTCATGAAACTTGAACAACATCCAGATGGCCACAGAACATATCTATGTAAATATATAATCATAACTAGACAAAAAAAAACCAAAACTCTATCCTATTAAATGTATGCTGACTATAAAACTCATTTGTAAGATGCATGAAATTTTTTTATTTAATCACGAATCTTTTCAGTGATTACTTAGACTGCAAAAATGAATATCGTTGATCTGGGCCCTGTACTTATGATTTTGCTTAAGAAGAAAAGACCCAGCTAGCCAAAATGTCTTTGTGATTTATCATAACTTTGGAGTTTGAAAAGAAATAGTTCAAGAATATCAACCAAGTTTTATATTAAGAAATAATAGGTATGTATACATATATATATATATGTAGGATAGTATATTTATCTAAAAACTTTATGTAATAACATAATCTAATTCAAAAGTTGTATTTTCCTAAGATTATAAAAATCATTTGGAACCATAGATACGAAAAAATCAAAATACAGAAAATATATTCTAAGTTGCAGGTGGTCATCAAAAGCTTTCCTTCCATATTAACAGGTCTAGTTCCTGATAAAATTACTCTTTTTTCTTAGAAAATCAGGCTCTGTTCCTTGACCTTTTTTATTGCTTTACATTGATTTTCAATGTAGAGACAGGGAAACATTCATTCTGATGCTTAATGACTTTTCAATAATTAATTAATTAATGACTTTTCATATGTGCAGCCAGAAAATATATTAGAAACAGACAATTTGGAGGCCTTTTTTCTGTCTCAGAATCTTAGGGAAGACATAATTATTCTGATTCTTTAAAATGTTCTAGCAGTAGCTAATCTTAGAAAAGGAGACTGGAACACAATATCCACAAATGCTAGAAAAGCCTCTCCTTGACAATAATTTCTGAAATAGTTGAGACTTCAGTTATTGAAAATTTACTCTGAATTTATATAGAACTCCTTTTCAATTTCTATTGCACTTGTGTCAAATCAGTTACCATGTTTATGAATGACTATATTCATTAGAGTAAACGTCACAGCAAAAGGCTTTCATAGTTCCAAACCTCAGATGTGGTTAGTTTCTGAGATTCCGTCCTGTAGATCCCAATGGGAACATCTCCCGTAGAAGAACACAACTTCTGATAGAGTCTGGCATATGTTCTGATCCACAAGTCATCTTCAGTGATTTTCATCTATAATGCATACGAATGAATCACAAATCAATGTTTAAGAATGAAAATCCCAGTGGTTATTTTTCTCTTCTTAAAAGCTGAGTCAATATATATTTTGAAACTTCCAAGTAGTATTTCATAAAAGCTTGTTCACACACTAGGTTTATTTATTTTTACTCCACCTCAGCTTATCCTGGGAGTTCATCCAAAGCCATGAAACATTAAGTAGTCAGTCTGGGGCAACACGGCATTATATCAGTGCAACAAAAGTAGGCAACACAACATTGGTAGTGACCTGGGAGATGGTGTAAACAGTGTGGAAACCTTTAAGATGATGTCATGACAAAATTGACACTGATATTTAGTGAACACAGTTTTCTAAAGCTAAAAATGTAAGGTACAGAACTCTAGTAATAAAAGTCCTATCCCACGTGCTTCAGGGTTCCTACATGTACACAAGCAAATCTATTGTAGAAGGAGTACAGGGTTACAGACAGGAAACCAGGGTTCTCATCCTCCCTCCCTGCCCCGCCCAGTTGCTTGTACATCTGAACCATCAGCAATCTATGGTATGCTACTTATTACACTCCTCTATAAAACAGAAGGCCTAAACCAGGTACAATGCCACAGCCTGCTCTCCCCGATACTGCAAAGGGCTGGAGTGGAGGACTCCTTGATTCCAGGAATATGATGACAGTCTGAACAACACAAGATCCCATCGGGAAGAGAGAGAGAGAGAGAGAGAGAGAGAGAGAGAGAGAGAGAGAGAGAGAGAGAGAGAGAGAGAGAGAGAGAAGAAAGAGAGAGAAAGACCGAGAGAGACAGAGAGAGACAGAGAGAGACAGAGAATATTAGGGTTGAAGCCAGAATCATCCTGCTCATGGACAATGTAGGAAGTCTTGGACAGGTCATTGTCAAACTGTCAAATTGTCAACAGAAACACTGAGAGTTTTTACTCAGTTTTATACAGAATGGATTTTTTTTTGGCAAGGATATTAATTGAAACGCTTGGTCCACAAAAACAGCATACACTACATTTAATGTTTAAGGGTTTATAATGGATTACAAGACCTCAGATGCAACACTTTGGACACAAACGAGGAAATAAATGTGATTGTTGATGAGTCACCAAAAGCACATGGTAGATAGATCTCCAAACCTTCTATCAGAATTCTCTTCTCTTCCATACATAGTTAACTTACAGAACAAAGAAACCCCGATCCTGGTATGGTGTCCAGTCCCAACAGAAGTCTGGTGATAGAAATCATATAATCTTTCACAAATGACTGCAATATAAGCAAAATACGTATACATTATGTATGTGAGGTACATAGAACAGTGAGGAGGGTAAACACATAAATATTTCTGAAAAAATATATCACTTCTGCAAGCCTCAATAAAATGAGATAAAATACATTTCAACTTTTTCAATAGCCAATAGTTAAGCTGAACCTAAAGAAATATATGAAATACTTGTTATTTAGAGATAACATGTATGCCGACATTGGCTTACTAGACATGATACTAACATTTTATATGGCTTAAAAACAACACAAAAGTCTCTAAACTGAAATAAGATGGTGAAATTAATAACTATTAAAATAAGGTGTTAAAATATTTCAACCAATCTTTTCTCTAAGATTAAGCTACTCAATGGCAAGATAAAAACTATTTCTAGACTTCTCTTTATTATTCTTTATTACATATATTCTTTCCCAAACTACTCTATGTTAAAATAAATCTCTTTAAAAAAAGAATCATATTTTCTTAAAATAACAATGCATATTACTTAATTATAGGAAAATAAACTATACTATTAGAAAGTATGTACAAACACCATCAACAAAAGCCATCCCTAGGAGTGGGATGCAGCTTGTCTAACGTGCACAAGGCTCTGGGGTCCAATCTCAGTGTCAACAAAAGATGAAAATCATTCTCAACAGTTCAGAAGTCATTATAATCAACCCAAAATCCAGGAGAACAGAAATTATTTTCTAGAATTTGCTAACTCTGAAATCCACTAGTTAAGTGTAAAATAGTAAAATAAAATTGTAAATTGTAGCTAGAAGAATTTTAAGTGAAATGGAAAAGTTTACCAAAACAAAAATGAATCTAATCCAGCAAATAAGTTTTGTGGTATCATGTGGTGTTTCTCTCAGTTATATACATACACATTCAGATAGATGCAGTATATATTGGATTGAAACCTGATATATAGCACTGACTCTGATATAATTCTAAACTTAAAATACTACATTTATTTATTTATCTATCTATTGGCACATGTGTGCCACAGAGTGCCTGTGGAAGTCAGAGGGAAACTTTGGCAGGTGGATTCTGTTCATTTACAACACGGGTCTCTGAGATGGAACTCAGGTCTTCAGGTTTCACCACAAGCACCTTATCAACTGCACCATCTTGTCGGCCCTAATTCAAAACTCTCAAATTCTAATTGAGCCTTTCAGCAGAAGTTTGAACAAACTACTAACTTCCTTGTGTCTTGAGAACACGAAACAAAAATCAAACCAAAGAAAGTTTAAAAAACGGTCTCCACTTCCATGGTTACATTCTATCACATGGACACAGGAAGGACTCTAGCTTCAGAATAGTAGCTGAGCACTTCTCTGTGATTGCTACAAACTCTCAGCTTGAAGATGGACTGACACCATCTCAGTTGAAGCTGAGAGTTTACATCAAACTCCTGCTCTTCAAGCACACTTAAAATAAAAGAAAGAAAAAACTAGGTTGTACTTTTCTCTTCAGGAGATAAGCACATGCATATTTGGGGTGCTTGGGGTACTGGCCGTGCCTCCTGGGTTAGCCGGATAAATTATCTGGAAATATTATTACAAAGCATTAATGCTGCTTCATTGTTTGCTGTGGCACCTCTCCAGCATAAGCAGGCTGCTCCTAGCACATGTAAGCACACACAGAGGCAGTTAGCCTAGAGGCCAGCAGAAAATCACCAGATAGCTTTGGATTAGTTTAGTCAGGCGGGCAGTTGTAGAGACTGCAGCAAATACATAATCAAAAGCAATGTGGACAATAAAACATGAAGGTGCTGAACTTAAGACTGATGTTATGAAATAAATCCTTAATGAATATACTTTTTTCATTTTAAATGGAAATGCTTATTGATTATGTGAATAACGAGAGAACAGGAAACATTACGATTATTAGCTGTGGGCAGAAACAAACAAAAGCAGACGACGATATATGTTTGTGTGAAAATATATGGATTTTTTGATTGCTCTGGATTGCTGTACAGTGCATAAGCAGCAGTGTTACTTTGGCATTCAGGGACTATCTAAATGACTCTGGGTTGTAAAAATGTTTCTTCTATTTATATAAAGTGAGCAGAAATGATCAGATATTTAAATACCTTCAGTTTATAATACTAACAGCTTGCTATTTTGTTTAACATCTGAAAAAAAAGAAGTACTATAAGCAAAGCTACTTTTGGCTTTTTGCTATTTTTCTTTAAAAAAAAATCAAGTAGTTCAGAGGCATGTTTGGAACCATAAGAAAGTACATTAATACATTTCACAGGAAACTGATATCCAGGAACACCAAGAAATAATTTTAATATACTATTTTATTTTTATTACTGTTACTGTTACTATTGATAGGGAGGAGCAAGAGAGAGACAAAGAGAGACTCAGACAGGCAGTCAGAGCTAGAAAGACAGACAGAGATAGAGATAGACAGCTCCTAAATGCATGTCTAATTAGATGAGAAAATAGGGCATATATATATATATATACATGTATATGCATTTTTACTTAATCTTTTAAAAATTACTTCTTTTATTTTTGAGATTATATTATAATTACATTGTTTACTCCACTTTCTCCTTTCAAACTTTCCTATATATCCCTCCTTGCTTTCTTTCAAATTTATGGTTGTTATATGTATTGTACATATATGTGTATAAATATATTTCTAAATACAACCAGCTCAATCTGTATAATATTACTTGTAAGTATAGTTCAGGTCTGAGAACTTAACATCAGATCATATTTTTAAAATCAGTATTTATGTGATTAAATAACATGGAAACATACTAAACTGTTTCAGCGCAGCTTTTTTTTTTTTTTTTTTTTTTTTTTTGGCTTTCCGAGAGAGGGTTTCCCTGTGTAGCTTTGCGCCTTTCCTGGAACTCACTCGGTAGCCCAGGCTGGCCCCGAACTCACCGAGATCCGCCTGCTTCTACCTCCCGAGTGCTGGGATTAAAGGCATGCGCCACCACCGCCCAGCTCAGTGCAACTTTTAAAAGTTCAAAGTATCACTACCACTCATTTTTACTTAAAATCTAAGTGAAATATAAAATAACCATTTCAAAGGAACAAGAGACTGCATACCTGATACAGAAGCGTGTCCAACATGCTGATGCTGAACACTCGTCCAGCAGCAAAAGGCAGTCGAAACATAAAGGCCAGGTTAGAACCTCGTTCTCGCTCTTTCTGTTCAGAGTCAGAGGGAGAAGCTGTGAGCATCTATATTTTATTCACTGCTGTGTGGGAAAATTTTCTTAGCAAATATAAAAAAAAGATATTCTTATTCAAATATTAATGATAAATATGCCCTGCCTTCTTTTAAAAATGATTTTTGTATATGTGCATATGAATATATGTACATGTGTGTGCTTAAAAATGAAATTTTAAATAAGTCTTAACAGCTTTTTTTCCATTAACAACTTTTCTGGATCTATTGGAACATCACGTAACTCAGAATGTTAACATCTTCATGTATAAACATTTGTTCATGCTATAATAGATGACAAAATTAAACAAACAAAATAAAATAATTGAATCAAATATAAGCAGTGGCTGAAGTTAACATACTTTATCATGATACTTAGATTTGCCTAAATCCTAACTGGCAAGGTTATGACATCACAGGGTTGAATTCTGAGAAAGTAATTTCGTCATACCACAAGAAGAGTTCTCACGAAAGGGATCAGTGCTCTACAAATCAAAGTCCGTCTATCATGTGCCAACTTTGAACAAAAATGTGTGCCTTCACTATTCCCTTCCACAGCAAGCACGTTAACCTGGGACTCCTCATACTCCACAACTGAGAGAAATAGATGTGTCTAAGCTCTCCAGTCTACGGTACTTTGGGGGTAGCAGATCAAAGTGAAAAGGTGTATCACACCCCATCTGATCCTCATGCTCTCTTTCACACACATATTTACAGAGAAGCTTCTTTACATTTCCAAAAGAAAGCTTATGTACATGTAAGTATGCATGTATATTATGATTCACAGTACTTTCGTTAAACACAACTCTATTGTTATTTGGATGCCATGGTACAGACTTGAGAGACTGAGGGCAGGGGGAGCAGAAGCTTGAGAACATCCTATTTTACAGAAGACCTTGCCTCACAACAAAACAAACATCTATTATCTTCTTACTAAGGGCAGAAACAGAAACAAAGAGCAAATGTTACATGTATTAACAATTGAAAGAGGCACTGTAAGAGAGCAAGTTATCCTTGTGCTTACCACTCATTAGCTTCAAAAAACACTATTGCTTTGCTGTAAGCTTTACTAGGGCAAACTGACACAGTTATGTGAATAAGAAATCCATTTCTTGAAGAAACGAAGACCCCATTTTTAACGTAGCAAATTTTGGGGATCTAAAGAGAAAGAACCCCTCACATTCTTCTCTTTAAAATGAGTTGGGGGGGCTATTATTAATGGCTATGTTTGTAAAACAAACACAAATATGCCCCCAAATCTGAGGGATGTAAACTGCTGCAAACACTGTGACAATGGTTCTCAACCTGTGGGCTGTGACCCATATAGGGGTTGTTGATTAGATATCCTGCATATCGATATGCACATTACGATTCATAGCGGTAGCAAAATTACAGTTATGAAGTAGCAAAAAGAAATAATTTTATGGTTGGGGGGTCACCACAACATGAGGAACTGTATTAAAGGGTCACAGCTTTAAGAAGATTGAGAACCGTTGCACTGTGAGAATCAGTATGGTGGTTTCTCATACAGTGAAAAATATAACTTCATTAAGGTGCTGCTGTACCATGTCTCATACCCAGTGGCTCTAAGTGAACATACCAGAGAGAGATTTACACCTCTGATGTTCATAGCTTCACTCTTCATAATGAAAACAGAAATATTTCGGGATGTCCATTAATAGGTATGTGGATAAAGAATATGAATCCAACCCAGATTTCCTCCTGCTTCTTCATTGTGTCAGTAAACCACTGACCTTGGGGCTATAACCTTTTCCTGTTGGATTTCTAATCAAAATCCTCATACTCCCTTCTGTATCTAACCTTAAATCTGCTCACGAGTTTAATGTGAATACTACTAGGTCAACCTCAATTATGAACATCCTATCATAGAATCACAACTTAACTAGTAAATCCTGGTCAAAGATGACTACTTTATCAATGAAAGAATGTGATGACTCCCTCCATAGCTTATGTATCTATCAACTTTCCAAAATCTACCACTAGTACAGTGTTCTTTTATTTCTTCTGCTAAATTCTACTGCTTTAACACTAGCTAGATCTCAAATCTGACATTTTCCAACCTCAAATCTTTGTTAGCACAAGACAGACCCCATAAGCTGCTAATTAATTCCTCCTTCCTGGCAGCTCAGTGTCTGTTTATATATTGAGTCCATTTACCCTATAATTAGACTTTTCTAGGCCTGCCTGGAGAGTACAGAAGTAGAATTTCTGTGAATAAGAAAAAAGTTCCTTATTCACAGAATCAGAAATGTTTTGATCTTCAGAATGTGTTGTCAAACCAACTTAAATCTCCCACCAGCTTAGTGGGTCAGTGTTGATGTGCTCAGGTAAACTGTGATTTCTTCACACAGATTAATCCTGCTGGACTACTTTTCTAAGCCCAAGGAATCTCCTGTAACTTTATTAGAAAAAATAGGCGATGCCTAAAAATACCTACTTTCACATGATTCTCCATTTCAATCACATTATTAAAATCCTTTTCCAAATTTTAAGATTGGTGGAGATTTCCATTTGTTAAAAATGATGAACAAGTAGTGCATTATGACATGGCTTGGTGATCTACAGAAACATATTATCGGGGTGATGCTCCTTCGTTGTGAGGCACCTTGAAAATTGTACTTTGTTATGTGATATTTTCTTTGTGTTCTGACAAATAAAGCTTGCCTGGAGATCAGAGGGTGGAGCGAGCCACTAGTTAACCATAGAGGTCTGGAGGTCTGTGCAAAGAGGAGACAGGAAGTGATAAGGCGGGATAGAGACAGAATCCCGGCCCTTTTGGACTGGAGGAACAGAAGAGGAAGGAAGACACTGGTGGCTGCTCCTTTGCTTCTCTGATATTTCAGGTTTTACTCACTATCTGAGTCCTATTTTTTATTGATAACATTAATTATATTTACTCATCAGCACTTGATGTCCCTGCTCATGTTTCCTTACAGGTGAAATGAGATTGTATCAGCATTATTATCTCATTGTGATTGCAATAAAGAAAATATCCAAAAATATTTTATATATAGTAACCACTTAGAAAATATTATATTCTGTCATCATTAGTTCTTTTAACATGTTCAATTGTACTTAGCCTTAAAGACTTCATATCTTTCTTCTGTAATGTTACTTCCCATGATTTCACTGCACTGGTCTGGTTGTTACTGTAACACAACTGCTGCTTTCCCACAGAGGTCTGTCTGTCACCTTTATGCATGCTTTCCCTAGTTACACTTGAAAATGACCTTCCAGTACTTCCATTACACACCTGAAATATGTGATTCCTTACTTCTTTTTTTTGTTTATTGATTATATGTCTCCACTAGTCTCCATGTTCCACGACAGTACACACCATGCATTTGCTTCCTGCTCCTTACAATCATGTCAGAAACAGCATGTGGCTTGCATGCATATGGGCAATAAATTATTTGAACAAATGAATTGTTCTACATTTAATAGATGCTTACATCAAAATTTTTACTAGAGATATTAACCCTTTTAACCTTCATAATCTACAAACAAGAAGTTAAAAGAAAAAATGAGGGATATACAATGTCTTTCTTCTCTCACTAGAGTTACTTAATGGAGGTCTGAAGTTATGAATGAGTGTACTGTTAATTTCCATTTTGCAATGTTCCATTTTTTTTGTTTTGCTTGTTTTGTATTTTATAAAACATACTAGCTATTTCTCCAATTGCTTGTAGCACAAATATACATTGTAATCCTCTTAAAAACCGTAACTATGGTACATGAGCCACCTTTCCCTGGCTTAGCTCCAGATCTGTGTCCTTCAAAGCTGCTTTCTCTGAGAGCCACCTTTGACTGATATTACACCACCCCTCTGCTGCAAATGGGGACCATCATAGAAAACCACAATGTAGAGATCAGTGGATCCTGTGATCCCAGCCCCATCGGGTATATCCACATCACAGTTCCCACATCTATGGCTCTGGGAACATCACAGAAGAGTTGGAGGAAAGATTGTAAGAGACAGAATACCAGGAAGTCTGCTGTGAAACTGTCACTTTCAGAAATGGCTGCATAACCAAGACCAGAACAGTGTTAATATCAATGGGCATGCAAATGCTAGAGGGGGAAAATCCCACTCCTAGACAAAGGGCTAGATTAACAGCCAGGCAGTGGTTGCATACACCTTCAATCCCAGCACTCAGGAGGCAGAGCCAGGAGGATCTCTGTGAGTTTGAGGTCAGCCTGGTCTACAGAGCAAGATCCAGGACAGGCACCAAAACTACACAGAGAAACCCTGTCTCAAAAAAAAAAAAAAAAAAAGAGATAAGTTAATTAATCATTGTTGAAGAGAATTAGACTTTTTTTTTTGGAATCCAATACAGAGTGGTCAGTTGTGAAACCATAGAAATACAAATAACAAAAATGGACTCATCAGGTTGTATTTATGTATTTGTACATTTACATATTTGTGCATACGTACATATATATGTAACAATAATAAAGAAAAAAAAGGACTGTCAATTTCAGAACGGGAGGGGGCATTGAGAGGAACATGGAAGGGGATCATGGAAGGGGTTGGAGGGAGGAAAGTAAAGGGTGAAGTAATCTAATTCTATTTTCATTAAAACAAGGAAGCCAAAAATGCACTAATATCTCTGAAATGGGGACATAACTCAGAAGTAGAATACTTGCCTATCCAGCACAAAGCCTTCTGTTCCGCCCCACACTAAACAGGAAATGTTTTCCTTCCTAACAGAATTCTGTATTCAAATGAAGCATCAATGATGACCTTCTATTTTCTTGATAAGCATTTATCTAAAGCACTTAAAAGGATTATGTGATACTTAAGTCATTGTTTAAAGATTTAAGGTGATTTAACGCAGTTGCTCACACCTGTCTTACTATTAGATTTGAGATCATGTACACATGCCTTTCTTGGAACAAGAAATTTAATTCTGGCAGATATTTTGTTTGCTCTGTGACCACCCAGTACCATATGGAATGA